ATATGCAATTGACAACTATGCACAGACGCTTGTTTGTGTACATACATTTTTGAGCTTTGTATCACCACTTTTAAGATTTTCTTGACACCCTATAATCAAATTCAAGCGGATAACCAAATGGAAATGGTATTTACCATTTTGGGTTGGTATTTACCAATCCGTTCAAGCGAGTGTAGTTATTAGTTTGGTTATAAGATCCGTGGCGTCACGAATCAGCTGTTATATGTCATAGTTATCACCGCAAAATTGTGGTATTTACCCAACTCAAGAGTAGTTTTATATTTCTGGTTATTATTTGAAATGTGACAAGTTAGAATTTTGCCGGGTATTGGATATTGTTATTGTTCTTCAGCTTCATTTTTGAGAAAAATGATACAGGCTGACTTCAGTTTTACCATAAAGTGGAGCACCTTATTAGTTATACTCATTACGGTTATTGGGGACACTTTACAATGTAGTTCCTATGCTTAACAAAGTATCCTGTGTAGCCATATACTACAAGAATATTAAAATATGGCCATATAAATTCACTAGATGATATCCACCTGTATACGGTTTTACTAATTTCTTTTTTCACCATTTCTGCTGAATCAATAAATGTTTTCTTTGACATGCGGAAAAATTTAGAGAATTGAAAGTTATCATAGCTACAAAGCCATGGTTCCATCATTAAAAAAAAATCTGAAAAAAACATTTCTCCCATGAATATTATGAAAGGTTTCTTATTTAAACTTTCCATATACAGTTGTAGACGAAAAAGCACCTATTATTAAGTGATAATAAAAATAATCAGAGATTATATACGCGCTTTTCTAAAATAAACAACAAAACCGCGGGTAAAACCAACGCGTTCAAGCGATTCGTGTAACTGACGTCATCAACCCGTGTGTCATCTTGAACCATATTATAATCGCGGCACATAACACAGAAATTTTGGTTATTCGCTTGGATTTGATTTATGTGTGTTCTAAATTTATGCTTGTCACTGTCAGCATGACAGCTTGCTTGTCATGGGCGTGCGATTTGAGTTTACTTTTTGTTGATCTTCGATATAAAACAGGAATGCCTTAAAGGGAATGGAAACAACGGTCGTATTTCATCCAATTCATGTGTGTGTGCAAGAGCCAGTAGCACTCGAGTTAAAGATCTACTTGTTTAGTGTGCAATTTCCCTTAGAGAAAGTAAACCTCAGACATGGTACAACCAGTTTTCTTATTTTCTATGGATTTGTATCAAAAACGATGAAATGAGCTATACGTACTTTCAGACTTCACACCCACAAGTTCAACTTTTTGTTCTGTGTTTTTACCCAGGAGAACCTGAACTAAAAGTATTATCAAAATCTGAGTCTGCGATCCGAGTGGTACCTTGCGAGCTATAGGAGGACTGACTGACTGTACATTCTAAAATTATCAGCTTTCGACATACATATTTTTTAGAATTTTAACTGGCAAATTCTGTAAGAATTGAATATCATGCAAGTAGATAGTAATATTAAATATGTAAACAATATCATTTGAGTGATGCTACACAACAATGTGAAGTACGGCAATCATTACCGTGGACCAAAGAGTATTAGGGCGGAGAGAAGGAAAGGGTATTGAAATAATACTGTTGCGCTTTCTAGTCTAAGAGAGGTGACAAAAAACTTTACATGATAAAAAAATAAAATCGAGGAAACGTCATACTCGTATTCCTCATCCTATAGAATCAGATCGGCCTCCATGCATAAAACAAACAAAATCTAGATAAATATGTCCCACCCCACCTCCCTTGTCTAATTAAAGAAAACATTTTTTAGGAGGGTTAATGGACAATCACTTACAGCAGCGAAGAGCGCCACCTGGTGTGCTTCCGCCTCTGGGAGCCAGACTCATAATTTATCATATTAAATATTTCATGGGGGGTAAGTTGGAGTCTGCTCCACTCAACTGAATCCATGTCAACGCTGGTTCAGGGGGTTGAATTCAGGTCAGTGGGGTGGATGCAGGTCGCTTGGATCGTAGACATGTCACGTAGTACAATTGAATGTTTTATTAATCTCTAATAGGACGATAAAACATCTGTTTCTATCTGGCAAGATTGTGAAAACCTCCAACAACAAATAATTTTAACCTTCACCCGGAAAGCTAAATTTTTAACTTACCCCTACAAAATAAATGATTCTGTATTGGAAAGGTGTTAAACTTCCAAAGATTTGAGCATCTATTTTGATTGTCAGCTCACCTTTATAATTATAAGTAATGCGTATCGCACATATATATGGCTTTATTATCAGAAATTGTAGGAACTTCAATATCACAACGTTTATTAAGTTACTTTTATTGCTTATTATAAGTAAATCAGAATATGGAGCCTATCTATGAACTCTACAAAATAATGTTAAAAAAGTGCAAACGAAATTTCTCAAAATATTTATGCTATATGAGTGATGGAGTATATCCTCCAAGAAGGTATGGCTACAAATTATTATTGAATAGATTTGGTGTTCCTTCTTTGGAGGAGCGCAGAGGGCAGGCGTCCATCATATGAAAATGTCTGCGTGGTAACATCGACTGCCCTGTTTTGCTATCGCAAATTGATTTCCTGGCACCCAGATTGACATCCAAATACAAAGTTTTCTTTTTCCGAAAGATTATTAATTAAGGGATTCCGAAGTGCTAAAAGCTTACATTTTTGACTTTTTTTACCCCTTTCTCTAGACATTTTACATATATATATATATATATGTATATATATATATATATATATATATATATAGGTGAAAAATTAAAGCTTCCGCCTTTTGTTGGGTACTTCGACAAAATTTAAGCAAAGAGGACTCTTTATACTTTTTTTAATTCTCTCTAGCTTTCAATGGACTTTGCCATCATCATCAGGAGCTGCAATTACAATGATAACAGTAGCAACAAAAGTGTAAAATGAATTTAAATTGAATCAAGTTACAGTAGTATGTGAGGATGTTGCTAATTGTTGTTTTCGTATAGGATGAGGGAAACGTCCAGTAACATGGTGAGAGCTGGATATATGGTACAATGGTTAAAATTATATAAAATATGACAAGACAAGTTAAAGACGTAATGCTCTAATGTTTTCTAAATAATTTTTAATCTGTCTTTAACTTGTCTTGTCATATTTTATATAATTTTAACCATTGTACCATATATCCAGCTCTTACCATGTTACTGGACGTTTCCCTCATCCTATACGAAAACAACAATTAGCAACATCCTCACATACTACTATAAGTTGATTCAATTTAAATTCATTTTACACTTTTGTTGCTACTGTTATCATTGTAATTGCAGCTCCTGATGATGATGGCAAAGTCCATTGAAAGCTAGAGAGAATTAAAAAAAGTATAAAAAGTCCTCTTTGCTTAAATTTTGTCGAAGTACCCAACAAAAGGCGGAAGCTTTAATTTTTTACCTAACTGGTCTAGACGACAATGACCACGTCTCAAGTTATATATATATATATATATACAGGGTGACTTTGAAGTTGAGTCATTAATTTTCAGATAATGATTGTAGAAGGAAGATAAACCAAAATATGTGTGTAAAAATAAAAAAAATTAAAAAAAAATGTTAACTTGTTTTATAAAGTATCCTCCCGACAAGTATTTCAGTGCGGACCTGTATTTGATTGTGCGGTCTTGGAGCACCGGCATGCCCTCCCCTGTGAGGTCTTAAGTCACCTGATTCACGAGTCCTTTGTACTGCATTAACAAAGGCACGAGGGGTTGGTTGCACTCGATTGGGAAACCGATCCGCATAAATCCGTGATGCCGCGTAAATAAGAATCATGTCCACAAGTTCAGCATTTTCGTAAACATGTGCCATTTTTGATTTCGTTTGAGCCACGCAACAGACACCACTTTCCACTCACGCGTTACCGACTGACACTGACTATATACAACTGAATAAAATAATTGTAAAACATCGTTCCAAATTCTTTCGCTTTTTTGTTTCCGATGCGATGAACCGATAAGGCGGATTATATCCGTTGTTGCCAAACACGAGCACATAATATTATTATTGAGATTGGGCGGTACTCAAACTTCCAAAGGGCTATAACTTTGTTACTTTAATTTTACCAGAAAAATGGTAAAGGAAAAAAACATTTCTTTTGATCAGATCTACTCACTGTTAAAATAAATGACTCAACTTCGAAGTCACCCTGTATATATATAAAGAATATATGTATATATATATATATATACATATATTCCTTTTTTCTAATATATATTAATCACATTCATAGTTTCTTTTCTCTCTACCTTAAGCGCTTGTCTCTTTTTTTTGTTTTCTGTTTCACTTCATGGCACACAGGCTGTGTAAATTGAACAACTGTACTATGTATTGCCCACGGCTAGGAGAACTTAAAAAAGATCGTTCAGGCAGATTAACCCACAACATAGGCTTCCTGTGTACAAAGGAGCGGAAGTACCTGCCGGTGCTGGATATACGAAGTTCGACACGGTTAGGGTGGCAGGTCGGAGTCAGGCAGGTCTGTCTGGCAGGCTCATCGCGTGGCGGCATACTGGAGGAGAGCTCAGTTATTAAATCACAGCTCGTCAAATATATGCAACCATTAAGCTGGCAACGGACGGTAGGCGATAATATAATGTATATTATAGTCGGACTGCAACCGATATATATTTTCATATCTTTCTAGCAGTATTGCCGAACCTACCGATTTTTCAGCATTTCTGTGTGTAGGCTGATCTGCTGGTCTGTGGTGTACTCAGTGTATTTAATTAACAAGGTATCCCCCATATGTTGATCTGCCGCGCTTGAGTAAATCCTAAAATCCCCTCTTGGGCTTCCCTACTATTAGCTTTCAAACTACCGATGTATATAAAAATAAATATTTACAAGTTCATACCGTCGGATATATCGCAATCAGCGATGATACTCCTCCAAGCTGCTTCTCTAATCTCATTATTTTCATACTCGTTCGAGTCTACCTTCCATAAACATGGATGTTTTCTTACACTTTCAATAAAATACTCCATTTTGTCTATTGCGAATTCCGAAGTGCAAGAACAAATAATAAAATAGCAACATCGCGCCAAGCCGGCTGCCAGCAAGAGCGGTTCGTGGGCATTTACGGGTGACGCGACGCAAGAGGGGAACAGATATAGCCCAAAGCCCGATATAGCGCAGAATATCGCTAGGTAAGCATATCCCGACAGATACGTAATATATCGCTGGGATATAAATATATCTTATAGCGTCCGTGCGTGGCGTCTCAATAGTTTTACACATGCAGCGATATTTCTGTAATATGCAGGATATAATATATATTATATTATCGCTCACCGTCCGTTGCCAGCTTTAATGTCGCGTGAGCGTCAGAATTAAAACCGCACTGATTAGAAAAATAAACTACTTTCAGAGTTATAGAGGGGCCAACGCTTATTAGTTTCTTGATGAATACTCCGCCTCCTCTGGACGCATGTTCAAAGACTATATTTCGTCCTAGACACGATAGTGATCTCGTCAAAATTTCATCAAAAAGTTCGAGTTATAGAGTGTCAAGGACTATCACCTTTTTTGATCAATCCGCCACCACTGGACTGATCCTCAAAAGTTTTTCTATCCTAGGCACGGTAGGGTCCAACGAATTTGAAACTTATCTCCGACACCACAAACTAGAACAAACTTACAATCTTATTAATGTATTAGCCGTATCGCCAAGTAGGATAATCAACGATTTAAATAATTGTTTTACATTTGGCTTGGAGCAAATACTCCCATTGCATTCAAATGTCTTAATATGTTCTCCAGTGCATTTATGTTTATACGGTCTCTCCCGAAATAGTCCTGAAGAAACAATGGTTGTTATGACAAAAGAGGCGAGTTGTTGGAATAGTCGCGGCTACAAAAATATCTCCAAGAACAAATCTGTTCTTTCATTGCAGAGGTAATACACCCACTATTTCATGTCGGCGTTTAAGTCAGTGATGTACTGAAAAATTCTTCTAAGGTGAAAAACAAATCCATAGATATTAAGAAATCTGTACCAGATATACGAGTACAGTGCTATTCATTTATTTTTTGACTGGGACAAGTTAGCGAGCTGAAATTCAGGATGATGAAATTTATGAATTTAAATACAAATAACAGTTGAAAATTTCAAAATGGCGGCTGAGCGCTATCTTGTAACATGTTATTCAATACGATTTATTTAAAGGGGTTATGCTATACCTTAATTAAAGTTTCTCATAAGTACAGGGTGGGGCAAAAGTCGCGAAGGGATTTGAAAAATTAATAACTTTTTTAAATTTTAATTTTAATTTTTTTCCCTAACACAAAACTAAAATGCAATGTTTGGAGTTTGTTTACAATTTAAGTGTGAAAGATTACATCACGCAAATGACCGCCATTTTCAGCCTCGCAAAGTGCAGCTCTTGCAAGAGCATTTTCCATTACCCGAGTCAGAATATCTGGCCCCAAAGCACTTACTTCTGCTCGAATATTATCTTTTAGTTGCTGCAGGGTTGTGGGTATATTAATATACACTTTTCCTTTCAGATATCCCCAAAGGAAATAATCAGGGGCTGTTAAGTCCGGCGAGCGGGCGGGCCAATTGAATCCTGAATTTCTCGAAATTAAACGTTCGCCAAAAATCTGCCTTAGAAGGTGCATAGTGGCTCGAGCAGTATGCGCAGTGGCTCCATCTTGTTGGAAAGTCATCGTTTGATTGTCAGCAAGAGCTGGTCTTAAGAAATTTTGAATCATATCACGATATCGGTCGCCATCTACAGATACAGCATTCCCATCGTGGTCTTCGAAGAAGAATGGTCCAATAATTCGTTGAGACGTAACTGCGCACCATACTGTACATTTAAGCGGATGTAATTGCCTTTGATGAACCACCCTTGGGTTCTCGGTACCCCATATTCTGCAGTTCTGCTTATTTACGAAGCCATTCAAATGAAAATGGGCTTCATCGCTCATGATCAGAGAATGAATAAATTCATTATCTTCTCGAGCCATTCTTTGCAAGCGAACTGCATAAGTTAGTCGTTCTTGAAAATCTGCTGGTTTTAGTTCTTGCACTAGCTGCACTTTATATGGAAACAGATGTAAATTTCCTCTTAATATTCTGCGTAAAGACCTTTGAGACATCTGCAGCTCAGCAAAACGTCTTCGGGTTGAGGTTTCCGGATTCTCCTGAACACTCTCCTGAACGCGTTGAATGTTCCCTTCATTTCTTGCGGAACGTGGCCTTCCGCTTCGTGGGAGATCCATAACTGTGCCTTGTTGCTGAAATCGTGCCACTAAGCGTCGAATCATTGATTCAGAGGGCGAATTCCGCAAATTGAAATGACGACGATATGCTCGTTGAGTTTGAATTATTGAATGGTGATATTCAAAATAAAATTCTATAAGTTTGGTTCGTTGATTGAGGTTGTAACGCTCCATAATTAATCTCCAGGATTTATTTTACACGGTCCTGAAAAAAAAAATGAAAACAAAATAAATTTAAAAAAGTTATTAATTTTTCAAATCCCTTCGTGACTTTTGCCCCACCCTGTACTTAATAGCCCTAGAATACAAAATTGCTCATTTGAAATGGCGGACTGGTAGGTTGTAAAAGTTGAACGTTTTTGTACATTAAGGGCCGTATCGTCAGTCGTTGCTTCAGTTGTAGGACGCCTTTATGACCTAATTGATTTTTATAGTTTCTCCTGTGCTTCAGAAAGGTAGGGGTCTTTCTACATTTCTACTGTTTCATTTAGGCGTCCTACAATTGTAGGAAGGACTGACGATACGGGCCTTAATAGCTTGTAACTCGACAGCTGATGATCAAAACTCTATAGTCTTTCTTTCTTATCTAGCTGAATGTGCAATGAAGTATGTGATATTCCATTTAAAAAAACTGACTGGCACTGACAATATTTTTAATGGAATGTTTCATATTTTATTACGCACTCGGATAGATACTTCAATGATAAATGGTTGTTGAGTTATAAGCTCCTTAATGTGCAAAAACTCTCAACTTTGACAGCCTGTTAGATCATCATTTTGGATTATAGTGATTTTATACAGTACTCATAAGGAGCTACAAAATGAGGTACAGACGACTTCTCATCAGTGGTGTAGCTAGAAGTCATGGGGCCCCGGGGCAAACATTTTTTGGGGGCTCTCATGAGTATGTTAAGAATAAAAAATATCATGTTATAATAAAAAAATAAGTAACACAATAATAAAATTAAAAATCCCTTTTTCTTGCTTTTCTATTTGCAAATTCGTTGATAATATCATTTATATCAAGGTTTTGGGCTTCTTCATTCTCTATACAGAGTAAAGCAAGATCGCTTAATCTAATCCGGCCTGTAGTAGACCTAAGATTGTTTTTTACAAGTTTTAGCTTGTTAAATGATCTTTCAACAAATGCAGTAGTTACAGGCGACGTAAAAAATAAAAGGAACATTAAGTAAACTTCACTTAAGTCGCTTTCAAGTACCCCATACTTACTTAAAATTGTATTGAAATATTCCTTAATTGATAGATCATTCTTAAGGTCTCTTTTACAAACATTTAACAAATTGTTATACTGAAATATTAAATTATTTAAATCAAATATTTCAGAATATTTGTTATAAATGGCTGTACATTTATTTTTAATGGATGTTTCATCGCAACTTAATATAATTTTTGGAAGAATTAAATCAAACAATTTATTAATTTAGTTCATGCTCCTAAATCTATTAGAAATCTGTGTCAGAACACGGTTCATAACAACATTAAAAACATTTATTTTAAATAAAATTTGAGTATTATTAAATCTGTAATCACTTAAGAGTCAAAGTTTTTTTAGGTTGACGTTTTTGCCTGAATTCCGGTTGAATATCCCATTTGTTAGCCAGTTCCGTAGCTTCAATCATTAAAATTTCCTAAGAACATCTTAAGTCAGTAAGGTTCTTTTCTACTTGTTCTTAAACAGTCACAGATTCCCTTAAATCAATATTTTTCTTTTGAAGGACCTTTGAGGCGAAGTTAACCTGGGTAAAGATTTTATACAACATTGTTGAAATAAATACAAATTCAAAGCAACACATTTGTTTTTTAATGGAAGAAGCTTCCTCTCTTTCTTCTTTTGTATGAGACTGTAACTCTTATTTCTGTTAAAGATTTAATAATATCAAGATAACGAAGTTTGACAGCACTAATAGACAATATCCTTCCTGACCAACGAGTTGGATTTAATGTTTTTAAAGTTGTTCTGGATTCACTGGTAAAAGAAGCTAAAAGATCCCATCTATCAATACTTAAACCAAAAAAAGAATATATATTTTGCATAGTTACTTGTTCTTTTTCAGCATGCTTTTTTAATTTTTCCTCTTTTTCTAATTTCAATTTTCGTTTCTGTGCTCCAGACTGATATTTCCGCTTATCTTCCATTTTTATTTTTTTTTGCGTTTTGTTCCGCAATCTGTTAATTCTGCAAAGAGAAGAATACACAACCATTTTTAAATGCATTAAATAGTTCGATAGTTGTATATCAATCAGACTGTTTCAAAAAAATCGTCTATTTTTTTCTCTCTAGTACGTCGAAAATATTGTTAGAAATGACGAAAAAAAATCCTGTAAAAGCAATAGCTCTTAATATTAATATTAAGTGGTGCCGCATCGAAAATTTCAATTTCCCTCGAAAAACTTTTGAACGAGTGGGTTTAGCGGAAAATTGTACGAGACCTTTTTTGTAAAGCATTCAATTCCCTACAAGAGTAAACTATGAACTCATCCGTATGATAATTTAGTAATGAGAAAAAAATTCAATAGTTGAAAACAATTTTTTTCCCATGTTAATGAAGAAATGTTAAAGAGCTGTAACTTTTACAGGATTTTTTTTCATTTCTAACAATTTGTTGGATATACTATATACTTAAGAGAAAAAAAATTAGTCGATATTTTTGAAAAGGTCAATAGATCATTTTTAGTCTTTAAGAAGCTTTTCGAATTTAGTGTCGGGTTTAAGGTGCCCGCAGAGTTTCCGTAACATAAGACTTAAGCCCAGACTTATGCCTTACGCTGTAACGTAATTTCTCATGACTTAAGTCTTGACTATACTTTATAAATCACCTGATCAGAATTCTGTATAATTCCTTGCGGTTAAGTCTTAATCTGTCTTGAATGAAACTTAACTCTTAAGTCTTACGTTACGGAAATTCTGCGGGCGCCTTTACTCAGCAAGGTAATGGACAAATGTACATTTACAAACAAAATTACGCACAAATCAAAATCGAGCCATTTATTCATTAAGTAATATAACTTACACTTACCTTTTTTTCTAATAGGTACCTTATTATAACGAG